AGTCCTGCGTAAGCTGCTCGAGCCTTGGAAACGCAAGCGGCTACTTCTTTGATTACTCAACCGTCAATTGCCACGCAACTACCTAAGTAGGAGAAACAATCCACTATAAGTACTTCTTGAACATCAAGCATCACAGCCGGGGTAAATGACACCCAATCTGGTAGCATCACTTTGAACTTTGAAGGTGCAAACCACATACCAAATGGAGGTACAGAACTTGAAAGTCTGTCAAAAGAGTGTCCACCATACATTCGACAGGCAAATGATGTCGTCAGCGTACTCCAAATAGCACCGCTTCTCTCCAGCTGCCCATTTATTACCAACATTTTAGACACCGATTAATACGCCTTGGAGTATTTCGTCTACGACGAAGTTAAATAGGAATGGCGAAACAGGGCACCCTTGACAAACCGGTTGCGAACGGTTTGCTTAGCACCCCGTAGACCCTAGACACGGTCAATTGAATCGAAGGCTCCTTTCAGGTCAAGGAATACTGCGATTGTTGGTCGTTGATGCGTGTGGTGCAATTCGAGGACCTGACGGCAAATGAAGATTTGGTCGGCGTAACCGCGACCTGGTCGGTATCCTGCTTGTTGCTCTCGAATATTACCTCCCGAAAAGGTGTCAGGCGGTGAAGTATCACAGAAGTCAACACTATTGTGACGATCGAAACTAATTCCGCGATGTTTTGCGCAGTCGTTACTTAATCCCTTCTTGAAAATCTGAACAAAGAACGATTTACTCCAGGATAAAGAGACGCTCCTCCGACCAGATACTATACTGTGAAGTAAGTAATCGAGTCGACGAGGCAGTCACCACCCAGCTTGAATATAATGGGGAGCTCGTCGGGTCCCGCTGCTTTCCCATTCTTTAACGATGGAACGCAACTTTAAACTTCTAATTCGGTTGGAGGCTTACATGTTAACACCCATGGAGTTTCCGCCGCAATCGCCGGAATAACCGAATTAACACTTGGCCAATTGAACTGTTCACTAAAATAATCTGCCCAGCAATTAAGTCGCTGTTCTTCATTGTGGATACTGTCCCCTTTTATCGCAAATGGTCTCACTGACCGATATGCGACGACATCCGGTAATGCGTATCAGGTGAAACAGTCTTTTACTATTCCCTGAACTGGACCTACCTCCATTTCACTGGCTATTTTGGTCCACCAGTTTTCGCGATCCTTCTTAAGGTTTTTTCCTGAGCTGGTGTTGCAGGCGCCACCGGTTTCATTTTTTTATCACAAAATGTGAATTACAGTAAAACGGGATATCCTCATAGACAAATAGCATACTGAAAGCGGGAGAGTAAAGGAACATTCACGTAAAATCTAGTTTATTGATTCTGCGTTTAAGGAGTGTAAGGTTGTAAGTTAGGGAAAAACAGAAAGTGGGAGGGCGTTCCACAGCTTGGCAGTTCAAGGAAAAAAGAGAATTGGAGCAGAGAAGTACGACATCTGGGAACAGAAATCTGATGAGGATGACTAGATGCCTGTGTACGAGATGGGCACATTGGGACCTTGCTCTCTTTTTATTCCAACCTCGGAAGAGCAGAGCTGTATGCTACCGAGCGCGCCCCCAGGTCGCGGATAGGGGAACGGCCGCCA